TGTAAATTCAGAGGTAACAATGACAATTGGTTTAGCTGTGATATTTTTAACAGCGGTTGGATTCATTTTTATTTTTTGTGAGTTTTAATTATTTTATTTGTTAGATTGTACTTTTGAACTTTTTATTTGATGAGGAAAATTGGAGAAATGAAGTGGTGTTGTAATTAATCGAATTTGTTTTTAATTATTATTTTATTGGTTATGTTGGTACTTTGAACTTTTATTTGATGAGGAAAATTGGAGAGATTGAGCGATGTTGTATTTATAATAAATCGAATTTGTATTTACGATCGATAAAATTCATAAATTCAAAATTTTACTAATGTACAAACAATTATTGTATTATGCAACATCTTAGTATTGTACCGCAATTAATTATTCCTTAGTAAGTTATAATATTAAAGAACACTCAGATTTCTGTCGAAATAAATATTATCATTCCCATAATAAGTAGTATCAAAAAAATAACGTAAAATGAGACAATGAATTGAACTTTTATTTTAATGCAATTCACGAAAATCTTCATTGTTTTGCTGTATAAACTAACAATAATAAGCAACATTCATTTTGTTTCACATTAGAAATCATTGTTCTCAGATCGACTCGTTTCAAATTCGAACGATCTAGAACGCCTCTATTAATAGAAATCTATGAATAGACATATGGGATCTGCTCTGTCGTGTCACCTTTGAAAATTTTACGATCATATTGTTTGTAAATTCCATTTACAAAAAATAAAAAAATATTTTGACCTAAAAATCATTGATTTTTCCGAACCGGAAGGTCTCAAATACTCATGAAGACAAATTCTAAATTGAAACGATGAGAAAAGTTATTAGAGAAAATATATTTTCTACATTCATTCACTATGATCGGATATTTTTATCAGAGGAATGGAATCTTTAAACAAAATGTCTAGTTCTCGTTCTCGTTGCAAAAGTGAATTAATGATTTTTAACCGTTAAATAAGAAAACTTTTAATAGGATTACAATTTCCTCTTTATTTTTTCAATTGTGTTTTGCCAAATAATCCAAAAATGAATATTTAACTTGTTAAAGTGCTACGAATTTTGGAATCCTTAGTACTTTTTTTTTTTTTTTTTTTTTTGTATTTTTTGACGTCCTGAGTAGTTTTTATGAACGTTAAACTCGCAACTTCATTAGGAAAGATGTGGTTGTATTAAAAATTGATAAAAAAAAATTATTTTGATGCTACTCTATGAAAGAAGTTAAAGGCGATGTCAATGTATGGACAAATTGACGGGCTTATGAATAAGCTGGAAATTGTACATATTTATTTAAAGAGTTTACATCCTGACGTGTAATGTACTGTAAATGTAGCTGACACAACATCGGTCAATAATATCAGAAAAATTTTTTGTTTTAACGAAACCTGCTTTGACGTCTTTCAAAAAGAAGAATATTTCAACGGCCCACAAACCATAGTTATGTCCGGCGAACCCCAATAAATGTAATAAATGTAAATCGGAAAAATATAATGCGGTCATATTGACCTTAGTTGTTTCACGTGCTGGCCATTAGCATCCCAATGAAAATTTTGAGCCGGTTCTGTCTAATACAATTATAATCGTATTTATAATAGACCAAATGGAAGTAAACAAAATATAAAATAGCATTAAATAATAATTTTTGAATTAATTAAAAGTGGTATTTAAAAATATTTTTCTCCATGTTAAATTGTCATTTATTTTCGCATTTGATCCAAATATCACATCTGTAATGAACCACACATTGCAAGAAACGAGAAGTTATTTCAAAAGAAGTGGTTTCTCAACCAATTTATTGTGTTTGCACCGGATCACATTATTTAGTTGCATAAAGATATTACAATATCAAGTTGATGAGAAAAACTTTATCGAATATTTAAATCGTACTCCCAAGTATTTTCTTTATTTAATTCCTTTCTTAAAACGCATTCTAACTAGTAATGTTTCATAAATTTTATTTTTTGGTTTTTCTTCTTTAGCCTACTGTGCATAAAAAGTTGATTGTTTAATTTGTATGATGAATTTATTTATAATTAATTCCAAACAATTAACATATCATCCTGCAACTCAGAACTTTTATTATCAATTTAAAACAGTGTTGTAAAGTAACAAATTATAAGTCCTTTATTTGAATCAAGCATTCTAAATATTTCTAAATATCACATCAAAGAAAAAAAAAAAATAATATACCGCCAAACGCTTAAAAGTAATGATTAAACTTAATAATAGGATTTTACTAGCAACTTATGTACAATTGTTAGTTAAACTTAATATATTCTTATAGTAGATTTCGACTGCCGTTACAGTTTTGTGACAGTTTTCATATATCCTTAATAAACAAAACGTAATTTAAACTTATTGCATAGCTATGTTATTAGGGTTTAAATTTAAAATTTAAAATATCGATGCCAATTTATATTTCGTTGTTGAGATAGTCGTCGACTTAATATTTTGTTGTCAATAATGGATTTTGTGAAATTAATTCAGGAAAACACAAGGACCTGCTTGTGTAAACAGCTTCGTGATGATTTCTTTACCGACGAAATTTATTTTCAATACCCGGAATTTTTTTCTCTAACAGATTTTTCAGTTAATTTGAATAACATATAGTTATCAATAACGTCTATCCAAGAACCTAATAATTCATACAATTCAGATGCCGTTGGATGACTTGAAGGATCGGCGTGCCAACATTTTGTCATTAATTGAGCGTAAAAATCTGGAGTTCTGTCAATAATTTCAGGACGAAGACCAGAAGAAATTCCAGTAGCTAATTCAAGATCATGTGGCCTATTACGCCATGGATAAACACCTGCAGAAAGTGTCCACATAATAATACCAAAACTAAAATATCTGAGGCCTTTGTTGGTGGATTTCCGTGTAAGATTTCAGGAGCGATAAAAGGAAGGACTCCATATATCTCATTTGAATTTACAATGGTACCCTTCCAATAAAGTATTCCTTGAGTTTCATCAATATATGAATATAAATCCCGATTTTCATAATATTCATAATATTTCATAACGAACATATAATTTGAATTATAATCTTTGGTTACCCCATAAAAGTTTTCACCGTTCTCGCATTGGTGATATTTATAAAGCTTCATTTAAAATTTAATTAAATGTTCGTTATTATCTCTAAAAGATAAATATTTAAATAAAATAAAGTTGTCATAACTTACTTGTTTTAAGTAATCTTCACGTGTATATGGTGAATTATTAATTCTTTTTAGAGCAACTTTTGTGGGTCCATTTCGTGACCAATTTTCGGCGTCTTTATCCCATAACCATCGGGGTCCTTCTATCCAAATTGCTGAATAAATTGTGGTGGTGGCATCACGTTGATTTGCTTTTTCCACAAAATGTAGTTGTTCAATATCAATATATTCTAAATAATCTACAATTCCAGTTGCATTCGATTGTGTGTATTGAATAAAATTATCAATGTCAAGGTTACCACTTGTCCATTTTCGAAAATTTCCTTTTAAGGCACTAACTTCACAATCTTTACACCATTCTACATCGCTTCTTTCCTTTCCACAATCTAAACATACTCCAATATCGAATGTGGTTTCCTTATTAGATTACTTACCATACAATCATCTTGTTGGGAGGACATGTCTGATTGAAATGTCTACGAAACTATATTTAAGGATCATTTAATGGTTTTTTGAAAGTTACACTAAATATGAAACAATTATTACATTACCTTGGGTGATGACTAGAACGAGAAATCGCCGCCACCGTTTAAATAAAAATTTGCTCAAAAAGTATTTAGTTCCTATAGTCGTATTCATAGTTCTTTTAGCTGTGGGAGGTTTGGTGGAAGGTTTAGTTACCGACGCAGCGGTAGGTGAGATCGCCACCGCGGAATCCATCGAAACGTCCGAACTTGCTGCCGAAATTGGTGAGAAATCTAGCTTGAGAAGTATGGCCGCTAAAATTACAAAAAAAAATTTGATAAAATATGCGATAAAATAAAAGCCAAGACACGGATATGCTTCATCCAATTTACTCCAAAAAGTACAATAAGGTATATGGCAAATTTCTATGAAGAATCACAAAACCCGAATATTGCTCAAACCCTTGCTGCTTGAATAGATCGGATGCATTAGAAAGCGCGTTATTGGATAATAATAATGCTTAATTTGATTATTGCAAGAAGAATACCCGAAGTAACTAACACCAATAAATATGTACTCAATCACGGAAGAATTAGACTTTGACCAAACCAAACTTACAAAATATAAGTGATTAGCCAAATAATATTTGTTTTGAGTGCAACAAATAAAATAATTATATGACTCATTTTTTAATTTTTACTCGTGTTTTAATAATGTTAATAATGTTGATTATTAAATAATAATAAAAATGGTAATTACATACGAATATCAATTTTATTTTAATGACTTTAAGAATTTATATAAACTTAATAGAAAATTGCTTTAGTCAAATTAAACATAATGTATTTTAATGGAATTATGGCTTAAAATTTATGAATTATGAGTTTATAACAATGATTTTGTAAATTTAATAAATTTGCTTTATTATAAAATTAAATAATTATATAAATTTGTCAAATAATAAAAAACATCTTGTCACATAATTTTGTTTTAGCACATGTTTTATCATAATATAATTTCATCGTCCCTGTTACGGAGTAAAAAGTTCAAAATAAAATTAATTTTTCATCGGATCCATCAGATCCATCCGATCTATCCAATTGATAATCTGCCTTTTCGATCCAGATTGATCAGGGGCGAAGTTTAGATATATTTGAATTTTTGCGTTAAAATAAAAAAAAAATTTTTTTTCTAAAGTAAAATTTTTATCTCTTTTTGAACGAAAATTTTTTTTTTTAAAGTAAAATTTTTATCTCCTTTTGAACGAAAATTTTTTTTTTAAAGTAAAATTTTTATCTCTTTTTGAACGAAAATTTTTATCTCCTTTTGAACGAAAAATTTTTTTATAATGGAAACTACATTTAAAAAACATCTTGTTAAGTTATCAAATAACAATGTTATCGAAATTTTGCGAAGACAGGAACTAAATCTAGACGAAATAGATTTAGAAATATTAAAAAAGTCAAAGATTTCCGGAGCTAGTTTGTTGTTATTCCAAAAAGAAGATTTTTATAGAAATGGTATGGCGACAGGTCCAACACTAGCAATTATGGAATTTATACAAAAATTAAAAACAGGTATTTAATTTTACAAATGATCAATCATATTATTCATTTGATTTTAATAAATTTTAAATTAATGATTTTAATATATAGTAATAGAAAAAACAGAAATTACTGTTTAAGAATATGAATTTTTATGGCAAATAATTAAGACAAATTATGAAGTAGGTATATTTATATTGTTATCTTAAGATGATTGAGATCGGACAATTAAGACTTTCTGATAAATTTATATGATGAAAATAATTATTTATTGGCTTACTACACTATCTTGTATATTACAAGGGAGGCAGTCGTTAGACTGCATGTGGTGCCGATTAATTTTTCTGATAAATTTATATGATGAAAATGTATTATTTATTGAAATAGCTGCGTGATTTTATTTGTCTTTGGCTTCTACACTATCTTGTAGATTTTATTTACAGGAGAGGCAGTCGTTAGACTGCATGTGATGCCAATTAATTTTTCTAATTTTATTTTTTATTAATAATATTTATAATATTTATTAACGAAAAATTTTTATACTAATTAAAGATTAAGAAATATGAACCATTTTATGAAATTATGAACGGAAATTTAAAACCTTTTGTCGATGAAATTTTACAATATCACGAATAAGGCACTAGGATCTTATCGCGAATCTAATGAAATCGCTTTTCATACGGCTATTGAGGTGCTATTAAGAAATATTTCCATAAGATATATTTCTGAATTACAACTAATTACGAAATATAAAGAAAATTCGCAAAATTGTGAGATTACTTATGGTTCTTCAGATATTTTTTTACCTGATAATAATTTAGGACAAGATTGTGTTGTAATTGAATTAAAATTATTTAATTTAATTGGACTTTATTCTGGAAATTTGTATACATGTCAATGGGTGACACATCCATAACACAAGTCTTTAGAAGAATTTGATAAAATATTACAGCAAGAATCGGAGGAATTATTATTAGAAAGAAATTATACTTATTGGTGTTGAAAGTGGATATGAACAATTAAGCAAATACATTAATGTAATCAGTAAAGGTAAAGGTAAAGTTTATAATGATGGAGTTGGTGTAGCAGATAATAGAATAACAGGTTAAACAGGGAGAAGTCATATAAGAGGATATTTGATAGCTTCTCTTGGAACGCAACGAGTTATATCAAAATCTATAATTACTTTTTCAGATTATCAGTATTATATAAAAAATTAAAATGTTTCTTTTTTTTGGTGGGGTTTTTATTTCAGAAATTAGATTTTTTTACTTTGTAATATTTATAAAAGGATTTAGATTGTATAATAATTAATGATTACATATTAATAATTATTTAATTTATTAATAAATTACAAAATTCATTTTGATAAATTGTTATTATAACCTAATGATTTATTAAATTATTAAATAAAATCTTAAAAAAAAAAAATTAAATTATAATTTTTATTTATCACAAAATTTTATTTTTTATTTTTTCAGTAATTTGATATTTTTTAGCCAAATAATTTATTAAATTCCTTTGACTTCCATTTTTATAATATTTTTTCAAAGTTAACTTCATTACTGCCTATACCCATTTGTTAAAAAGATTATAACATATATTGAAATATAAGAATTAAAAAATTTTATTTAATAGCACCAAAGATTTACATACAGTATCACATGAAATTAATTTAATATTCTATAAGTAAATTACTAATATAATCAGTCATGAGAGGTAATTAATCTACAATGATAATTCCGTTCCGAAGTTCCCTAAAAAGAACATTTCTATAACATAAATTAATAAAAAACACACCCACGCGTTCTAACAAAAATAAACAAACAAACGCTAGTAAAATATTTTTAAAGAAAATTAGTTAAAAAGACACATTTCGTCTCCATTACCTCAAGTCTGGACAAGTATTTAGTATTAGTTTTTATAAAAAAAAAAAAAAAAAAAAAAAAAAAAAACGACGATTATTCCATTAGGACTTATTCCAATCCAAGATTCCAAAGTTTATAGATTCTAGATCGGTATAAAAAGGTAAGCTATATAAGTTTTTATTTAAAAATTAAACAAAAAATTCTGTTTCAATGCTTCAAGGATCCGAATTTGATCTACAAAGCTAAGTTAATATTAGCATTAGTTTTTTTTTATATTAAAAAAAAAAAAGTTCATTGGAATTTGCCCCCGATCCGTCCAACCCAAGGCTTCAAGGATCCTACAAAGGTAAGTTTAATTTTTTTTTTTTTGCTAATAATAAAATCAAATAACTAAACAAAATATTCCACTCAATTAGGTACTTACCTCTTAATGTTCAGGATTGGTCTACAAAGGTAAGTAGTGTATTATTGATGTTACTTCCGATTCGACTTCAAGATTTCAAGGTTCCGGACCTTTGTACTAGGGTATTTTATGTTTATTTAAGAAAAAGATGTGTTAGTAATAGTATTCTTCAAATAAAAAAACTAAAGAACTAACTATTAAAACTTACTCAAAGTTGTAAATACGAAACATTTTTTTTAAAAACTATTTTAAAATCCCGTCAATCCGGCCAATCTGATGAATGACGGATCATCTGCGTATATAGGATGTGGAGATTCAGGATCATCTAATATGTGCCAAATATGCATAGGCTTTTAGAACTGGTGGTAGTGTTGAACCAAGTGAAAGAGAAGGTAAAATCTGAAGTTCAGATGGATTATCTTTCGGCAGATATAGGAACCAATAATTGTCATAGGTGGAAAGTATTCCTTACTGAAGTTCTAGATCTGCCATATAAGAGTAGATTTAACTACATCCTTTGACTTACTGTCAGAAAAATGATCCATGATTTAACATTAAGACTAGTTGCCTCTTAAATTCAATCGGAATAATTATTTTGTTTTCGTAACGGAAAGTGGCATCTAGTCTTCATTTATAGGCAAAGTCAGAGGGTTTTGTTTGAAAAAATATAATCTTTCCCTAAAAGATTGTTCAATATCATAAAGAAATTGACAGTTAATGCAACATAATCATTCTTTAATGTGTATGGTATACTCTAGTTCATTGAATTTTGGTTTTTGATCAAAGCTGTACGATTTGTTATAAAAAATCCTGTCCAATTGTATACAGTTGCTGGTATTACACCTCCCATGTGCATAGTACTTCGTGATTTACTAGTATCCAAAGGATATGTAACAGATGGTGGGACACAAAATAATGCTTGTTCTTGACTAAGCTTCCCTATAAACAAACAAACCAATATAATAATGAAAAATATTATGAAAAAAACTCCCAGAAGATGTCAAAATTATCTTACTCTGTACTATTGTTTTTTTCCTTTTGAGCAATGTGGATGAGTTATCTGCATCTGCATCCGAGTCTATTTTTCTTTTTCCTTTGGATAATGTGGATAAGGTACCCGCCTCCATCTTCAAATCTATATGTTGTTTTATACATGCTCATTTGTAATATCACAAAAGATTTTTCGAAAACTTTCACTATTCAGCATCCTACTCACTCTTTTAGAGTCAGATTTATAAAGAGAATTATATGGTGAGTAAATACTGGCTAGATGCAAGCACACCAAAAAAGGTACATAACAGATCCCATCTCACGGAATCAGAGGACTGCATCTACTTGCAAGACCAGATCTCCCCCTTGAGGGACGTTAACACAACAAGAGGTGCAAGAGCCCGGAAAAAAAACCAAAGCCACTTGCAGAGATACTGATCCACCCTCGTTGGAACATCGTCGGGACGTAACGCTCAAGGGCTGCAAGTGCCTAGCAAAAATCCATTGTTTGACCATCTTCAATAATCAACTAACCTTTTTCACTTTCAAAAGATTCTAGTACGTCTAAGGATTTCTTGCGAAGAAGTTTGATCACTATTCATTTCATTCAAAGTATAGTGAAATTTTTTTAAAAGTCCCACGTATGCCCACATCTTCGTATTAAAAGCAAGGCAGGTAACGAATTTTTCCAGCGACTAAAACTGCAAGGAATAAATTTAAAGTATTTTTTTTTTTCGGAGGTAGACATCATTGAATTAGAATTCTTTTTAATATCGTAACAAGTACAGAGAACTTGAACGAAAAAAAAATTAGTAATATATATTTTTGTTTGATTATAAAAAAAGTTTATAAAAATGAGTTTATATACAAAGTACGCGGACTCGACGCGTAATATAAAAAAGATCAAAATAAAATTTTTGTGGCACATTTGACATTTAACTTATCTGCGATTTTATTGGTTGAATTTTGTGATGATCATTTTTGAAATATCACATAATTTTTAATTTTGATTGGTACAAAATTGATCGTCATAAAAATTACCAAAATAGAAAGGTTAGATTTAGACAATTAAAAAATATTTTTCGCTATTTTTTTATAAATTTTTTATATAAAAATTCTTGAATCAAAACATAAAAATATCAAATATATTTATATTTATAATAATCATAAAAATTAAAAATTAACTTAGAAAATTAAAGGAACTTACAACATTAAATTAAAAAATAAAATTATAAATATACTAGATATCATACATTTAAATTACTATATAAATATATTTGTGATTAATTTAAATGTTTAGATTAAGAAGTAGGTATAATATTTGTATAATATTTTTCATCATAAATGTTTTTTAAAACAAAATAATAATTGTAAAAATTTTATAAAAAAGATGTTATCTTTAATAAAATCCTATATAAAAAGATTATAAAAAGGTGAAAAGTTTATTATATTAGATAATGAAAAAGTAGCAATAATAGAAAAAAAATTTGTAGACTTTAAAAATATTTTAAACTTGGTAACTTATAAGTTATTAAATAAAATATATTGTAATATGTATAATTTTAACCTTAAAATTTCGATTCTCATCTAATTTTCTTAAAAGCAAAGATCTTTAAATCTTTTTTTATCCAAATATAAAGAAAGAAATGAACAATATATTAATATAAAAAATCTGCATATTGATAGATTAATTTTTAAAATATTATCAATCTTTTTTTTATTACTTTAAATCAATTGAAATCGAACGTTACATAATATAAAAAAGATCAATATTTGATTTTATTACCATATAATATAATGAATGTTCATTATGCTAGCATATTTTTATGTATTATAATCAATGCTTAAAATAGTACTTTAAATTCTAGCAAATCCAGAATTTTTATAACAAATTTCATAAGTTACGGGATACCTGATAAAATTTTTGCCAAAAGTTGCCAGGTTCTCAGGTTCTTAGGTTATCTACAAATTTAAAAAATAATAAATATGTGATATTAGCTAATTAATTTTTTGTATTTTTTTTATTATATCACTCTAAACAAAATCAGTGTATTTTTTGTATAATACTATAATACCCAAAACAAAATTAAATAAACATATTTGTTGGTTAATAATTGAAAAAACTCTGAATTTTATTTTATAAAAGATTATTTAAATTTTTTTTTAGTTTATTTTTTTCTTTTTTTATATAATAATGATAAATAAATTAGAAATACAATATAAAAATATTACTATTAATATATATATTATTATAATCTTCTAAAGGCTTTTTAAAATTTGGATAACAATAATTAATTTTATCAAAAATCTTAATTAAAGATGGATAAGTTGCATTTACTTCTTTAATTTTAACAATTTAATAGTAAAAAAATTTTAATATTCAATTATAATATTTATAATAAAAAATATTTTTTACCATTATTCTTGCTCAAATTGTAATCATTTTATTATTTAATTTAAGATGACATCTATTATCAGCAATCAAACAACTTTGAATATGATATTCACATTTAGAAAATTTTGATATATTTCTAATTTCATATTTTTTAATAAAAAGAAGCATCTGATGTCTTTAAATTAAATCTTTTTATTAATAAAAAATACATATTATAATAAATAAAATACATGAATAATAAAATATATATCATATATGATTTTATTTTGGTAGAGATTCTTCATATCATTCTCTATCACAAAACTTCTACAAATTATTTACTTTTATTTAATTTTTTTTGCAAAATACATACATAATTGAACATTCTTTCTTTTTTGCATTCTGTAATAAATGTTGCAATAGCATCATTGAATTTTAAATTAAAATAATCTACCTTAATACTAGAAGATTTCTGAGAATATATAAGACCAAGTTCTATTTCTTTTCATTCAGTTTACGAAATAATATTTCTTCTTTTATTTGGCCAAATGTATTTAAATCATTTAATCAATAAGAAATATCAATTGCTTTATCAAGTTTTTTACATGATTGTTTATATTTATTAAAGCAAACTAATGTAATATATTCTAAATTAAAATTTAATTTATAAGTTTATAAAAATAATTAATAATATAAATTATATAATAAAAAAGATTATATTTTTGTGATATAAAATATTTTTAGAAGTTAATATTAATGATGAAAAACTTGATTTTGATAAAATAGGATCAGTTAGATCAATACAATCTTTATTTTTAGAAATAGAATTTGTAATTTTTGTTGATTTATGATTCTTTGTATCTTAATAATTCGAATAATTATATTATAATATAATAAATACTTTATTAAAAAAAATTTATATAAAATAATACCTTTATGATATTTATTCATATAATCAAATATTTATATTATTTAAATGTAATAAAAGTATGATAAGCAAAGAAATACTAGTAAGAACCTATTCTCAAATTCTTTATTTAACATGATCTTTTAGTTTATAGTATCTTATTATGTAAAAGGTTTATGACAAAAATTTATAATATAATTATATTCAATTTTTTTTTTTTCAATTCAATTCTCTTGCTTAGCAAGTATATTTTTGACTATATTCATTTTTACAATCTAAGCAAATAAAACAAATTGGATAAATATTGAAATGAAACTTTAAATAAAATTCATCATTCTAAATTAATTGTATTTTACTTTTTGTTATATAAAAATACTGATATATATATATAATACTGTTTATATTTTGAGTAAATAACAATCTATAGTTTTCATTTATATATTCAACATTAAAATTTTTTCATTAAATTTCTTTGATCCATAGATTTTCTCAAATCCAAGGTATTTAATAATTTTTTCTGATCCATGATTTTTATTAATTTTCTCAAATATAATCCATTTATTTATAAGTTTTAATGAATTAATTTAAGTTTATTCATATTTACCTTTAAGATGATAACTCTCACAATCATCTTGATCACATTTTTTTATTGAAAAAAATATGAATGAGATTGGTAACAATGACCATAAAATTCACCAATTAGCTATATTTATTAAAAATTAAAAATGGATTAGATTTTTTTATATTTAAATATCAATAAATTTAATAATAATAATTACTTAACTTTATTTTTAATATTTACCTAACATTTATCTTATTTTATTAATATAGAATCAACTAAAAGAATTGAATCCTATAGTGCATCTATTTCTGATTCTAAAGTAGCTTTATAGGTCTCAAAATTTTCTCATTAATTGGTATACAAATTACATGTTTATTATTTATTTTAATTTGCTAATAATTTGCGAACCTGAGAATTCAGCAACTTCTTGGTAAAAATTTTATCAGGTATTCTGTAAATTATAAAATTTGCTATAAACACTATATATAATTCATTAAGTATTAGCACTAAAGTAAACCTCATTCTCAAAAATTATTAATTTTAATTATTAATCATTTTGACCAATTAGATAAGCTTCTTTTTTTTTTAATTTTTTTTTTTTTTTTTTAATTTCTTTTTTTTCAAATTTTATTTTATTTTGAAATATTTTAGCTGATTTTTAATGTATATCAATCAGATATAAATTAGACATCAATCATCTATAAATAAGATAAATTAAATTTTAGCCAATTCTTGGCTAATTTTTAATATATGCCAATTGAATATAAATTACTATAAATAAGATAGGTTAAATTTTAGCCTATATTTGATATATACCAATAGATATAATCAGATATCAATTGGCTATAAATAAGATAGGTTGAATTTTAACTGATTCTTGGCTGATTTCTTATGTATGCTAATTGGCTAGACTGATTTTTTGATAATTTGCCAAATTTAAGCTGATTTTAAGCTGATTTTCACATGTCTGATTTTTTTGATTTTGATCAGTAAAAAGAATAGGATTTAACTAAATATTTGATTGCATCATATAAATATGTAAAAGAATGTAAATTTACCAAATATTGGTATAAAATTTTTAATACTACAAATTTTTGAGACCAATTTCTAATCTTATTATTTTTGTTGATTTATTATTAATAATTTCTTCCTCTAATGCTATAGTAAAACAAGTATTTTCTAAATAAAATTTGATTAAAACTGTTCTTAAAAATAGAATGTGTATTGATACTCTTAATATGCATTTTACATATTTCTTTAAATAATCCTAAAAATTTTGAAAATTTTAATTATC